CCAGTCACTTAACCTCTCTGAGCCTCAGCTGTGAAATGTAGAGTTAGCCTCCAGTTTTGTAAAGCGCCTGATGCAGGGGGCCCCCTGCCAAAAGATGGCTTGTGTTCCCATCTGCCATCAGATTCTCGGCTGTATTGCTCATGGTTGAAGTGGTTAGAAATCTCTTGTCCAGATAAGCTGAGCATGTCCAGGAAAACAAAATGGACTTAATATGTTCACACTGTGTGTATGTGTAGAACTTTTCCTGCCTAGTAGGTATCAGGGCAGAGGGAAGGGGCAGAAATAAATTGTTGAACTCTGTTGGCCTCATGCAGCCCAGGGGCTGTTCTGTATCCAGGCCTTGCTGCCCTTTGTCATCCTGGCTGTCCTTGGCCTTGTCAGTTGTCTGGTGTGTGTGTGTGTATCTTCTCAAGGTGTTTTCTATAACTCTCTTCTGTAGCCAGGAAGATGATTACAGACCATTTGTTCGAGGGAATATCAGTAAATAGGTGCATGGTTTTTCTTCTCTGAAATTATAGAGAAGGATTGTTTATTCCTCAACAAATTCTTCTGAACACTTGTTAGATGTCAGGCAGAACTCCAGACCCTGATGATGTATCAGTGACCAAAACAGGGACCTTGCCCTCCTGCAGCTTAAATCCTAATTGGGTGAGAAGTACCAGATTAGTAAGTACACAGGTAAAAGTAGTGAATTGGAGGGTGACAAAAAGTAGAAAAAGCTATATGAGTGAGGAGGAAAGAGCTGATTTGGGACGCAGTGTTGCTATTTCAAGTAAAAATGTTTGAGAAAACCTGGCGGAGAGATGTTACTTGAGCGGAGACTGAAGGAAGCGAGGAGGGAGCCAGGAAGGTGCTGGGGAAGAGCGTTCCCAGTAGTGGGAAAAACCGGGACGCAATTCCAGAGTCAGGCTTGCTTGGCAAGGTCAAGGGCCCTCAGGAGGCCAGCGTGGTCAGAATGGAGAGAGAGGACAGCGCACGGATCGCCTGGGCAGTAGATGCCAGGCCTGGGGCCAGCCTCCTTGTGCATCTGCGCTGGTCCCCACCGTCCAGAAGTCCTGCTTCTCCGCTGAGAGGTAGTGTGGGGCGGTGACACACCCAGAATCTTAGCCCTGGGTAGTGAGCCCAGATTCTCACCTAGATCCGCACGATTCTAAAGTCCTTGCAGCTCACACCAGGCTGAGCTGGTGAAGACTCCACGCTCCCTCTGCTCTGCAGAGTCACCCTTCTGGTTCCCTGGGTACATGCCCAGCTTAGGGGGCTCGAGTCCTGCAGAGGTGTCCGCTGCAGCAGGTGGGGATCGAAAGGGGTCGACGCACAGTTTGGGAAAAAGAAACTAGAGACAGAATCAAAGTTTTCAAGATGGAACTGGGGGACTCAAGACCTCTTGGGTCAAGAGCCCTGTTCCTTGAAGCCACATCACTTTTATTTAGTGTCTCGGCAAGCAGAAAGCATCTCTTGTGCTGCGATGAAGTCAGCCTCCTGTGTCCCTGGTCACGTCTCCCATTTTATTGATTACTTTAATCTTTGCTATTTTCTTGTACAAGGGCTATCACCTAGCTGGAGGTCATAGACCCGCACATGCCTTGGGAAAACATCTTATGGTGTGTACAAGCAGTGTTCTGAACTTGCGTTGACCTGGCTGGCGTTCCAAGGTGCAAACTATGATTTTCCTTAGCTGAGCAGGGCGGGACAACCCCAACTGATCAACCCATGTACCTTTATTTGGGTTATGCTGTATTGCTGTATTTTGCTTTTATTCTTTTCCCATGGTGATTTTCTCATGGCTTAGCCAGAGCAGCATGCGGCTGACTATTAACCCCTGCACGTGTCCACAGCACCAGCCAGGAACAGAGCTCTGCTTTCTCCTCCACCCCTGTGGGGCACTCCCTGTCCAGGTTTCAGCCTCATCCCTGTGGAAGTTCTGTGGGAATTGTATTTATCTCGGTCGGAATTGGAATGCGTTAGAAATTATTGTTCGAGGACAGGACACGGAGCTGGTCCTGGCCTCCATTAGCAGGGGCAGGTAAGAGTGCCAAGTGACCCTTTCCAGGGCCGTGATGTGGCTTTGAGAGAGGCAGGTGAAGCGGTTTGCTCTTGTGCAGACAGTGGCGCTTAATAAGCCCATGCTTTGGGGGGTCTCAAGAGGCCTGAGTGAGTTAATGCATGTAGAAGCACTCAGAACATGCTGGGCACAGCATGGACCCTTGGTCACCATCTGCTGTGGTCACTAGCAGGGGCCTGGCACTGCTCTGGTCCCAGGATGAAGACAGAGAGACAGACAGTATGCTGTGCGCCCATGGTGCTTCCAGCACGGCAGGCCCCAGCAGCAGTGAGCAATATTTGCATGTAAGTGCCACGCTGGAAATTTAAAGTGTGCTGTAATAGTGCTTGAGCAGATATAAATATGTTAACATGTGGGGGTTTTCATCACGTCTCTCTTTCTCTCCTGTGTGTGTTTGCATGTCATGTAAATAACATCAGCAACAAAAAGGCAAGAGCCCAGGAAACTCCTTCACCCACCAGTGTGTTAGCACTACCAGTGTGTGGCAGTGTATATTCCCCCAGAGGTGTCCCCATCCCAACTCCTGGAACTTGTGCGTATGTTACTTTACACACCAAAGGGAATAAAGTGTGCAGACGTAATTAAGGTTGCTAATCAGTCAGCCTTGAGAATGGGAGATTATCCTGGATGATCCGGCTAGGATCTATCTCATTCCATGAGTCCTTAAAGATGGAAAGAGAGGATCAGGCAGAAATATTTCCTGTGGACAGGACTGGACCTACTGTTGCTGGCTTTGAAGATGAAGGGCCCCTGTGCAAGGAAGGCAGGCAGTGTCCAGAAGCTGGAGAAGGCAAGGAAGTAAATTTTCGGTTAGAGCTTCTTGAAAGGAATGCAGTCCTGCCTAGTATTTTGATCTTCACTCAGTGAGATCTGCATCGGACTTTTGACCTCTGGAACATGTATTTAAAACTAATAAGCTTGTGGTTATTTGTTACATTGGTGAAAGGAACCTAATCCTATAGTCATTTAGTCATTTTTTGTTTTTTGGCTGTGCCTCATAGCTTGTGGGATTTCAGTTCCCCAACCTGGGACTGAACCCATGCCCACGGCCCCCTGCCATGGAAGCACAGAGCCCTAACCCCTGGACCACCAGGGACTTTGCTATGGTTGATTTTTAAGCCCATGGCCTCCCCGCTGGACTGTGAGCTCCCTGAGGGCAGGCGCCGTGCCTCATTCACTCTGGACCCCAGTGCTGGGCGCTGCCTTCAGGCTGAACAAAGTTTTGCTAACCTCTGCACCCGATCAAGAGCTGTACCTTGGAATTAAGGGTGGAATGGCCTCCTTGATTCTCTTCCCTAAATCCAAACTCTAGTCATGATGCTTGCCCACTGGGAAAGGCCTCCAAGGCTTAGGGCCCAGCTGCCAGGCCAGGCCACTCTCAGCCCCGAACAGGTGACGCTGATGGAGAGAGAGTATAGCCTGCCTGCTCAGCTCCTAGCTGTTGGGGCCTCCTCCCGAAGGGACGTCCTTATAAAGGAGAAGAATTCACGGGCAGGACTCAAGACATGCACGTGTTCCTTTTTCTTGATGCTGGATACTGTGGCTTCCTTGTAACATTTTTTAAAGGACCATTATTGATTCATTCAGCAAGGAAATAAGTGAGGTAAAGACAAATCGAAGAGAAAAGCCAAACAAAAGAGTGAAGGACTAAAAGAGCTCGAAGAATGAAGAGATGTGGCCGTTGACCTTCCGAGCCGCCTCCTGCCTGCCTGTCTTTGTATAGAGGCCCCAGAGCAGGGATGCCCCACGCTGGATGCCCAGAGAGTCTGATTTAATTGGTCTGGGGCAGGGCAAGGGCAGGGAAATTTTTAGAAGTTCCTGGAGTGAACTTGGAGGGGGTTGAGAATCAATGCCCCTGGGCATTCTTGCTTTGCTCTGTTCTCCTGTGAGAAGCCTCCAAACCCTAAAAGTCATTCAGTGGTATTACTTGTTATTACATTCAAGCATTTACAAATGGAGAAACCAAGGTCCCAAGACCGGGCCCTCCACCTGTGGGCTGTCCATGCCCTCCATAGATGCAGCTGGTGCTGTCGATGGCCTCAAACCAGAAAGAGCCCACCAGCTTCCATCTGTGAGCAACTTTCTTTCAGTTTTTCACACTTTTTCTTCTTCCCAAATGCTCCTTTATTTAAAAAAAAAAATTTATTGGTGTATAGTTGATTTGCAGCTATGTTGTAAAACGAAACTGTGTTATTTGCTGCCGTGTAGCAAAGTGAATCAGCAATAGATATGCAATGTATCCGCTTTTTTTTTTTTCAGATTTCTTTTCCATATAGGCCATTGCCGAGTATCGGGTAGAGTTCCCTGTGATATACAGTGAGTCCTTATTAGTTTCCTATTTTATATGTAGTATGTGTATGTCCCAATTTTCCCTCCCTCTCTTTCTCTCTGGTAACCGTAAGTCTGTTTTCTATATCCGTGCCAAATGCTCCTTTAAAAGGTCAGCTGACAGAAGATATGTAGATGGCTAATAAACACATGAAAAGATGCTCAAGATCGCTCATTATTAGAGAAATGAAAATCAAAAGTACAATGAGGCATCACCTGACACTGATCAGAATGGCCATCATCAACACATCTACACACAATAAATGCTGGGGAGGGTGTGGAGAAAAGGAACCCTCTTGCACTATTGGTGGGAATGGGAATTGATATAGCTGCTATGGAAAACAGTAAGGATATTCTTTAAAAAACTAGAAATAAAACTACCATATGACTACTGGGCATATACCTTGAGGAAACCATAATTGAAAGAGACATATGCACCCCTATGTTCATTGCAGCACTATTTTCAATAGCTAGGGCATGGAAGCAACCTTGATGTCCATCAGTTTTAATGAGGTGGGTGGACCTAGAACCTATTATACTTTGACCATCTGTAAAATGGGGATAGTAGTAATAATACTACGCGGGGGTTGTGAAGTTTGAAAGAAGACATACAGTGCATTCAGAGTGCCCAGAGCAGTGTGTGGTTTGTGAATGCCAGATGTTATAAATAATATTATTGTATGAAATTGCTATTAATAGAGGGAAGAGAATGGGAGTTCAAGCATCAGAGCCAGTAATAAGTGTCAATGGATGCATCATTTTTCACTGTTGCTTTTCAGCTTATTTTGGACAGTGCCCAGTGGGTCACTCCTTGACTGGACGAGAGAGAGTCTTCTCTTGGAGGAAGTAATTGTGAGTTTCCAAGCAAGTGTAAGTGAGTGCTCACTGGGCACTTACTCCTACTGATCCTCCCCATCTTGAGGTCTGCCTGCTCAGGGCCGTCTCCTATAGGGGCCCAGGCTCCATGGACAGAGCTGAGCCCCTCACTCACTCTAGTATTCGGAAGGGACCTGCTGCCTTCTCCTGTGTGTCTGCAGTACATAAAAATTTTCCATGCAACTAATTGCAGTATGGGGTAACAAGGAGGATAATAGGGGGGGGGGACAATTGTGGATAAATCAGCTTGATTACACACTTTCCCAAACTTGATTATACAAATTTGCAAGGCTGTACAAAATCCCGAAAGCCAATTAAGACCTTCCAATAATGACTGCAGATTCTAGGGAAGTTGCTCTCCTAAGTCTAGCCAGTTGGCCAACAGGTTGAGGATGGTGAGGACAATTCTTCTGCTTTGAATGTTTTTATATTTCATTGATAGCCAGGGAGTTGTTTTGTCATGTTACATGTGCAGGTGGGAAGGTACCCACTCTTCTGCTGATTGGGCGTATAGTGATACAGACTCACTGTTGGCATATTGCAAGGTTGTCATGCTGATTAGTAATATTGCCAGTTGCACTGGAAGCTGATTCATTTGAAGACACATGATACCGTTGGTAAAATAAAAAGTTAAAGAAAAATGTTGGGATGTCATTTAAGGCGAGAAGCATCAGTTGGTTTATTTAGTAACATACTTTTAGCCTCCTTTTCCCAATACTACTTGACCTTTAAATTCAGGTTGTTTCCTGTTTTTAGCTTATTGAGATACAATTAATATATGAAAGTGATAGTTGCTCAGTTGTGTTTGCCTCTGCAACTCCATGGACTATAACTCGCCAGGCTCCTCTGTCCTTGGGATTCTCCAGGCAAGAATACTGGAATGGGTAGCCATTCCCTTCTCCAGGGGATCTTCCAACCCAGCAATCAAACCCAGGTCTCCTGCATTGCAGACAGATTCTTTACCATCTGAGCCACCAGGCAATTGTATACACATTTGTATACAACAAATTTTATACAATACAACACATTGTATACAATGTGTTGATTCTGATACACTCATATATTGGGAAGTAATCAGCATTAGCTAATACCTGCCTTACATCCCATAATTAATATTTGTTTATTTGTGGTGAAAACATTTCAGAGTACTCTCTCGGCAAATTTCAAGTGTATAGTACAGTATTACTAACTGCCGTCACTCTGCCGTGTGTCAGACCCCCAGCGCTTACTCATCTTAGCAGCTGAAAGTCTGTGCCCTTTGACCAGGCTTCCCAGGTGGTTCATGCTCAGTCAGTCGTGTCTGACTCTTTACAACCCCATGGACTGTGGCCTCCAGGCTCCTCTGTCCATGGGATTCTCCAGGCACGAATACTGGAGTGGGTTGCCATTTCCACCTCCAGGGGATCTTCCTGACCCTGGGATCAAACCTGCGTCTTCAGCTTGGCAAGCAGATTCTTACCACTGAACCACCTGGCAGTAAAGAATCCACCTGCCCAATGCAGCAGACTCAGGAGATGCAGGTTTGATCCCTGGGTTGGGAAGATCCCCCGGAGAAGGAAATGGCTAACTACTCCAATGTTCTAGCCTGAAAAATTCCGTGGACAGAGAAACCTGGTGGGCTGCGAAGAGTCAGACACAGCTGGGTGATTGAATTTGCACACACGCTGAACACACCTTTCAACCAACATCACCTGCTTTCACTCACCTCCTTGGCCTCTGGTAACCACCATTCTTGTCTTTGTTCCTGTGTTTGGCTTTTTTAGATTCCACATGTAAGTAAAACCATTCAGCCATTTATCTTTCTCTGACTCTTCTCACTTAGGTTAAGGTCCCCAAGGTCCATCATGTTGTTGAAAATGGCAGGATGTCCTTCTTATGTTTGAATAATATTCCGTTGTATGTGTAGACTGCATCTTCTTTGTCCATTCACTGACAGATGAGGGTTGTTTCCGTATCTTGCCTTTATCATCCTGCACTAAACATGAGAGTACAGATATCTTTTTGATATCCTGTTTTCATTTCCTTTAGATAAATATCCAGAAGTGAGATTGCAGGTTCATATCATGGTCCTATTGTCAATTTTTTGAGGAACTTTCATACTGTTATCCGTAGTAGTTGTACCAATTTATGGTCCCATCCACAGTTCCCAGGGATTTTCTTTTTGTCACATCCTCGCCAACACTTGTTCTCTCTTATGTTTTTGATCACGTCCATTCTGATAGGCGTAAGGTGATACTTCAGTGTGGTTTTAATTTGCATTTCCCAAACTCAGTTTACTAATAGGCAAAAATTATCTTGTAGGGTATGGTAACACCTGAATGAAATAATATGATAAGTGCATAATTCCACAGCTGGAAGATAGATGTTGTATAATTGTTAAATTCCCCATTGTTTGGAAGGGGGAGGATTTGCAGCATTTTAGACAGAAAAATTCTTGAGAGTCTCTTGGGAACTGCAAGGAGATCCAACCAGTCCTTTCTAAAGGAAATCAATCCTGAATATTCATTGGAAGGACTGATGCTGAAGCTGAAACTCCAATACTTTGGCCACCTGATGCGAAGAACTGACTCATTTGAAAAGATTGAAGGCGTGAGGAGAAGGGGATGAAAGAGATGAGATGGTTGAATGGCATCACTGACTCAGTGGACATGAGTTTGAGTAAACTCCAGGAGTTGGTGATGGACAGGGAGGCCTGGTGTGCTGCAGTCCATGGGGTCGCAAGGAATTGGACACAAATGACCGACTGAACTGAACTGAACTGAGACAGAAAACTCTGACGGTCCAGTTCCTTACTGAAAAAAATGAGGAAAACCTTTACTGGAGTTCATTTGAGAGCTAAGCCAAGATTAGGTATTCTGGCTTGCTGTGTTGGTGGCTACTGCCTGCTCGGGACTTGCTCCCAAAGCCAAGAGGAAACCCATGGCTGTCAGATCATAAGCAACTAGAGATTCGGTNTCCAGTTCCTTACTGAAAAAAATGAGGAAAACCTTTACTGGAGTTCATTTGACAGCTAAGCCAAGATTAGGTATTCTGGCTTGCTGTGTTGGTGGCTACTGCCTGCTCGGGACTTGCTCCCAAAGCCAAGAGGAAACCCATGGCTGTCAGATCATAAGCAACTAGAGATTCGGTCCAGGAGGGAGAGTGAGAACTCAGGGATGGAGATCTCAATTTGGGAAGACAAGAAGTCAGGGGTGAGCTTGGCCGTGGGAGCCAGTGTGGTCCCCACTGCCTGATGGCCTTGGTCTTGAAGGGCCAACATTATTCATGAAGGGCCTAGAAGGAAGGAGAGGCACTTGGGACAGAGCATGTGAGCAGGATGAGGGATGGAAGGACAAGCGGATGTGCCCCAGAAACCCTGGGGCACAGTACCCACTCAATGGATGCGATATCAATGCTTGTTGGGAGAGTGGATGATGAGTATTGAACCTTCTTCTTATGTGCCAGTCGTCTCATTTATAGTAGTCCTTCTGCCGACGAGGCACAGAAAAGTAGTGATTTGGCCAAGGTCAGACCCCTTTCGAAGTCTGTGCTTTTCATTTAACTACCTTGCTGTGCTGCATATGAATGGATGAATAAGTGAGGGCACTTCCATCTTACCATTAAGAAATGATGACATTGAAAGGCAAGTAACTTTCTTACAATTTCAGAGTCATCAGTGGTGTAGTCAGAGCTAGCAGCTCTTTTGCTTCCTAGTCCAGCGAGCTGCTCACTAGCGCCAGGCTGTGGCTCTGCACCACCTAGTCAGGCCCTGGGCCCTCCCACTGCCCCCTCTACTGAGCTGAGTTGTCATCTACAGCCCACCCGTGGCCCCACGTCCCCCTTAGAGTGTACTTGCCTGTGTTTCCAAGGTGGGGGCCATGGAAAGCGCCCAGGATTATTATGGTTAGAAGATCTGGGTTTGGGTTCCAGGTTGGCTGAATGACCTTGGGTAGGTCAAGAAGCCTCTCTGGCTTCAGTTTCTCTCTCTGGAAAATGGGGATAACAGGGCCTGCTTTTTCTAGTTGTGAGGAGCGATCGAGAGAAGGTATAAGATGCGCCTGCATCTTAAGATGCAGCTGGCCGGTACGAAGCGCTGAGAAAGGGGTCAGTGGATCCTCCCTCCCTCCCTCAATTCGCTTTCTCCCTTCTCCTCTTCCTCCCTCCACGTGTCTCTGCCGACAGCATCTCATTTAGCAAGGGAAGAAGGAACCATTCAGGCAGCCTGTGACATCTCCCGTCCAGTTCTCGGTGGTCCTGGACTAGGGTGGTTCCACCACTTGGGACAGATAAGGAGAAGTGCGAGGTCTGTACGCTGACCTTTCAGCGCAGAATTGGTGGTGCTGGTGGTGCTGATAGGGAACATGAATATGCAAGTGCCATGGATCGGTTAGCCCTAACATGCCACTCGGCAGATGAGCACTCTGAAAAGCCCCGCTTCCTCGAGAGAGAGGGCCTCATCGCCTACAGGGGAGCCGACTTCACAGAGTGGGTCTGAGAGGTACTAGGGTTGCTTAAATGCCCCCCACTCTCAGGCTGACCAGCAATCTGCGGTGGTCTCCCTCCACGAGAGGGGAGCACAGATGCCACACAGCACGGCCAGAATGGGGGGTCACAAACAGATGGGTGGGCAGGACCCTGGACGGGACTCTGCTTGCCCAAAGTCAGGGTGCTTCTCAGCTCCATTTCGCTGTTGCCCTGCAGGGATGTGGGGCCCAGGTTGCCAGACCAAATTCCTCAGTGGAAGCCAGAAATACACCCTTTGCTGCAACACCTCCTGGCTTTTAAATATTGGTTACAAATCATACATTAAAAAAAAAAAATTCAGTCTTAAGGATAACCAGCTACCAACCTCTGACTTAAGATTCTATGTGTTGGAGGATTGGATCTATATCGAAACAGCTGGACTTACTTGTTAAGTCTTGATTCAGCAAATATTTACTTATTTGTTTTTATTGAGGTATAGTTGATTTATAATATTATGTTAGTTTCCAGTGTACAGCACAGTGATTCAATAC